TGCAGCGGGGCCGCGTGGGGCTGGCCGGGTGCTCGCCCTGGTTTAGCAGCCCTGCGAGTCCTGGAGGTACCGCCGGCGCGGAGGGAGACCGACTCTGCGGGCTTTTAGAGACTGCCAGCGGTCTCTCCGGATAGCGTGGGCATTTTGGCCTTGTGTGTTACCTCACAGGTATTGGTATGAACAGGATTCGGATTCACGTCTTGCCAACCAATCGGGGGAGGATCACGCCGGTGCCCAGGTCCCAGGAGCCCTTGTCTTGTTCATTCACTCATCGCCCATGCTCTCAGCCTCGTCTGGAAGGACAGGAGTTTTGCATTAAGCATATCCTCGAAGACAAGAATGCACCCTTCAAGCAATGTAGTTATATATCTACGAAGAATGGAAAAAGATGTCCCAGTGCTGCCCCAAAGCCAGAGAAGAAAGATGGGTATATGTAATATTTATAGTTGAGATTTTATCATTTTTGTGCTGGAGGTTGAACTCACGACCTAACCACAGCCCTCTCTTCTTTTATTTATTTTTTGGTACCGGGGATCGAACTCGGGTTCTTGTGCTTGCCAGGCAGGCGCCAGAACCACTGAGCTAAATCCGCGGCCCGCTCTCTTCTTTAAAAGTGAGGGGCGGGCCGGGGATTTAGCTCAGCGGTTCGGTGGCCTGGCTGGCAAGGACCAGAGTTCAATTCCGGGTACCAAAAAAAAAAAAAAAAAAGTCATGGGGCCGGGGATTTAGCTCAGTGGTTTGGTGGTCTGCCTTGCAAGGGCAAAGAGCCGAGTTCAATCCCCGGTACCCCCCCCCCCATAAATAAAAATAAAAGGGGCGATGTGTTGTCCTGTGGACTTGGGGCATAACAGCCTTTTGGGTCACGTGCTTGTAAAATTGGGGTTGTGGGCACCTCTCAGGAAAGAACATTAAAGTGCTGAAAACGAGAAGGGCACTTGCACTTGAATTGGGCCATTTACTGTACTTCCTCTTCTTTTTCCCTTATCTCTCAGGTGAAGGGATGTTCTTAGTTATCTTACTGCTGGGGTATTCGCTCTTTTGATTGTCTCATATATCTTGTTGAATAATATACAAAATTATGTATGTGTTCTTTTGGACTAGACTTGCAGTACGCAAAGGTATCCTTGTAGAAGCATTACTAGATAATTTTTTTCCCATTGTTTATTGGTGCATTTACAGTAAATAACAGTTACATTTATCTTTGGGCTCTCTTGTATCCTTACATTACTAGATAATTTTGTATGTTCTCTAGTTTAAGTTTAAAATTGTTACAGGCTTTGAACTCAGTACCTTGCTCTTGCAAAGCAGGCGTGACCCAGTGCCACTGAGCTAAATAAATCCCAGTCCCTCTCTAGTTTAAAATTGTATGCAGTATCTTACTACCTACTAACAGGTACCTTCCAGAATTAATTCTGAAAAAGGCAGGTGTCTCTCGGATTTGTTATGAGATAGTCAACTTTTTTTATAGTTGGAATGTTTTGTTTGATGGCAAAGTACTAGATTAAGCTACCTGCATTTTCTTTTTATTTTTTTGGTACTGGGGATCGAACTGCATTTTCTTTTTAATAACACCAGGTGTGGGCTAAGCCACGCAGAAGAAAACAAAAAAACAAATGAGTTGACCTTGGGCCAGTTAAATTTCTTGCATTTCACTGGCCTTTTTAGGACTTAATGTAAGTTATTTTGATGTCTGAAAGTGATTTAGAGGTCTATGACTAAGTAAATTATTGAACCCTTTCAAGAGGGAGCCTATAAAATTTTAATATTTTGTCTTCTTAGTGTGTCCTTCTGTGCTGAACATGCTCGAAGGAATGCCCTAGCGCTTCATGCTCAGATGAAGAAGACCAACCCAGGGCCTATGGGTGAAACACTGTTGTGCCAGCTGAGTTCATATGCTAAGACAGAGCTGGGATCTCAGACTCCAGAAAGTAGCCGAAGTGAAGCCAGCCGAATACTGGGTAAGGATCTTCTCTCCTACAATACAAAAGGAGAAAGAAAGGTTAATAAAGAACTTAAGTTTGGTCTAGACCAATGACTTGAAAATATTTGGTAGTATTGTTAATTCTTTGGGAATTTGGTGAGAATTCTAAGATTGTTATGTTCACCAATTCTTTTGAATTTGAAATAGTTTGCTTAGATTTACTCTCTTGTGCTGGTGAGTTTTTCTGTATTAAAGTTTTTAAATTTAATTTTAAGGTGTGGGCTGATATGTTCAGTAATCTAGCTGTGTGGTGGAGTTACGGAGGTGGGAAGTCTTAATAGCTGCTCTCCCTTCCTTGCCTCAGATGAAGACAGCTGGAGTGATGGGGACCAGGAACCCATTACTGTGGATCAGACATGGAGAGGTGACCCTGACAGTGAAGCTGATAGCATAGACAGTGATCAAGAAGATCCCTTAAAGTAAGTCGTAACTCCACATAAAGCTTTTGCATTTTTTTTGTAGTTAGTGTGTGGGCTGTGTTATGATACGTAGATTATTAAGTGAGGAAGGTGGAAGATAGCTTAGCTATTTGTGAGCCATGACAGCCTCTGTACATTAAAGTGTGAGGGTTCATCATGCTGTATCTCTTCAGGGCAAGATTTTATTTTTGATTTTTGTGGTACTGGGTATTGAACCTAAGGCCTTCACACTGAGCTACATCCCCAGCCCCTCTTCCTTTTTAAATTGAGACAAGGTCTTGCTAAGTCACTACTTTGCCTAGGTTGGTCTCAAACTTGCTATTTTCCTGCCTTGACCTCCCAGAGTGCTGCGATTATTCTGGGCAAAATTTTTTTTTTTTTTTTTTTTTTTTTTTTTGGTAAAAGTCTTACAACTTTGAAAAAATGTTTGAACATCAAATCTTTAACAAGAGAACGTAACATGTAAGGAAGAAAAGTCAGATTACATGGAAATGAGTAGAGGTGGGTTAAGAAATACTTCGCCTGGTTAGAAATGAGAAAATGCAGCTGGGGCTACATAGTGAGTTCCAGGTCAGCCTTAACTGCATAGTGAGACCCTGTGTCAAAAAAAAGAAAAAAACAAATGAGAAAATGGATGTGACTGTGTGCTTGTTCTAAACTTCAGCAATAGTGAGGTGCTAAAGGAAATATTTTGCAAAATACAGTGTGTTTTTTTAAATAGAAAAGTAAAAAGGTGTTCCATTTGCTTTGCTTTTGTGTTTAAAGAGAAACTGAAGCCTGGGCACAGTGGCACAGTGGAGCATGCAGAACATTCTGGCAGGCTGAGGCAGGAGAATTGCAAATTTGTGCCCACTCTGGGTTACTTATCAAGACTGTCTCCAAAAAGGGCTGAGGATTTAGTTTGTTTTTTATCCTGGGGAAAAGGGAAGAAGGTAGTTTTGGGTTTAATCTTGAGAAGGGAAGGAGAAACTGATTCAGAAGTCCAGAAATGAGTAAGCATCTTAATTATCTTACTAAGGTTGTCCTCTTCACTGATCTGTGATCACCTTAGGAGTTACAGGGACATCAAAAAACATTGCTACTCTGCAGTCTCATATTTCTATGTCTCATGGCTTGACTTTAGCTCTTGTTTTCTTTAATTGCAGTGCTAGAGGTTGAACCCAAGGCCTTATACGAGCTAGGGCAACCACTCTACCTACCACTGAACTACATCTGCAGCTCTTAAATTGTTTTTCAGTACTGGGGATCCTTCTCCCCACTCCTCTCTGACATTTGCCCCTTAACATTACTGGTCAGGCAGAAGTACTTCAGATAGTGGGAGGGGTTATGAATTTCTAGACTTAACTGTTAGGCTTTTTAAAAAAATCTACTAGTAATTGGACCCAGGGCTTTACAGACCCTGGGGAAACACTTTACCACTGAGCTATATTCCCAGCGTATTTTAGTTTATTTTTTGGAGCAGACAAGGTACGTTTATGTAGTCCAGGCTGGCCTTGAATTTAATTTGTAGCCCAGTTGGTATCAGATTCTCAGTTGTCCTACTGAAGTCTCTGGAGTGCTGTGATTACAAGTGTGTGACACCACACCCAGCTGGGTTACATTTTGGGGGGGGTAGGGGTGGGGGATGAACTCCAGACCTTGCCCTTTTGAGGCAGGTGGTGGCTCCATTGAGCTAAATCCCTGGCCCTGGGTTACTTTTTTGTTTTTTTTTGAGATAGGGTCTCACTATGTAGCTGAGACTGACCTGGAACTCACTATGTAGCCCAGGTCTTGAACTCACAGTAATCCTCCTGCCTCAGCCTCCCCAGTGCTGGGATTACAGGTATATGCCACCATGCCCGGCTTTTGATGTATATTCTTTATATACATCACCAAAGTCAAAACACCAAAGTCAAGTCAAATTTTCTTTTTTTTTGGTACCAGGAACCGAATTCAGGGCCTTGCACTTGACAGGGAGTCCAGTTTTAACTTTTGAAGGCCCAGAGACTTGATTTTGTTAATAGTAGTGTAGACTATATCACATTCTAGTTGATGCATTTATAGTAATGTAACTCAGAAGTGACTATATCTAAATACCAGTTAGTTATATGAGACAAATGCTAAAAGTTCAGTCTCTAGTAGAAACATAAAGGGGCAAATAAAGCCCAGTATATTCTGAACTATCAGACCGCTAAATATAAAGCTTTTCTTTTCCCAATGAGATCCTCCCCAAAATGTTGGCTCACTAAATAAATATGTGCTTTTAGGGATAGAATTGTCTTTTTATATTATTAGTATGGTTATATGTTACTATCATTAATACAATAATACTGTACATTCATTTAATGAAATCTTTTTTCATTATGAATTTACATTTTTGATGCCAGTGCCTTTTTTTTTTATCACTACGACCAGATTTTGAATTATCTAATGTGTAGTAGCTTTGTTTCTTTTCTTTTTTGGTATCAGGGATTGATCTCAGGTCCTTGAACTTGTGAGGCCAGCGGTGGAACCACTGAGTTAAATCCTGGGCCCCAAATATGTGGTAGTTTTTAATTTTCATTTGTATGTTGCAGAGATGACACATTTTGAATTATTTATGTCATTACTTATCCTAACTAGAATTTATATTAGTACTTTTAAACCCTTAACCCCTATATATCATATATGGTCTTATATGTGATTTTCCTCAAAGTAACCATTCACTTAATTGTCTTGCCTGGAGGTATAACTCTTGTACACCACTTGCCTAGTGTGTGTTACGGAAAACTCAAACACAAAGAGTTACCATGTGACCTATTCAAGTTTTGAAATATTCAAAGCTTGCTGGGCTGGGGATTTTTAGCTCAGTGGTGCCACCACCTGCCTTCCAAGTGCAAGGTCTTGAGTTTGATCCCTGGTACCAAAAAAAAAAAAAAGTTTCCTTTGGTCAAAATCAGTTTCAGATCATCTTTGTTTTCAAAATAACGAAATTTGGGGACAAAGCCTTTTTTTTTTGATACCAACTATGTAGCACAGGCTGGTCTTGAACTTATAGGGATCCTCCTGCCTAAGCCTCCGAGTGTTGGGATTACAGGCATGCGCCACAATGCCCGGCTTTTTTTTAGTTTTTGAGATAGTGTCACGTAGCTCAAACTGACCTTGAACTATGTAGCCAGGCTGGCTTTAACCTCATGGCAATCCTCCTGCCTCAGCCTCCCAAGTGCTGGGATTACAGACTTGTGCCGCCACGACTGGATACAGCTAATTTTTAAAAGAAAGAAGAAAACTGGGTGTGGTGGTGGTTGCCTGCCATCTCAGCTGCTGGGAGGATGAGGCATGAGAATTGCAAATTCCAGTCCAATCAGGACAATTTAGTTAGATCCTGTCTCCAGAATAAAATAATAAGGGATGGGGATGCAGCTCAGTGACAGAGTGCCCTTGGGTTAATTCCCCATTATCAAACAGAAAGTGTAATTTTAGATATATAACTTGTGTGTTAACTTTAAACAAAGGAAATAGTTTTTACTCAAAATATGAAACAATATTAAGGAATGTCCTCTTATATGATCAAAGACAAATTGGAGTTAATTTTTTAACAACTTGGATGATAAAATGCTGTATGAAAATGTTCTTATTTAATGAAGTGTTTTTGTTCTCTCTGACTGCTTGTTAAATAACAACTAGGTCTAATCTCTATCCCCTCCTCACACTTTATTTTTTTGGAGACAATGTCTCATGTAGTTCAGGCTGGCCTTGAAGTCACTGGTGTTGAGCTCCTGGCAATCCTACCTCCGCCTTCTGTGCTAGGATTACAAGTGTGTGCCACCTCACCCAGCTACTTTTCTACTTCTAAAGCTTGGGTTTTGTTTTTGTATTTTCTTACTCTTTGCCAATCCTTTGTTTTATTCCAGACATGCTGGTGTCTACACAGCAGAAGAAGTGGCCCTGATTATGCGTGAAAAGTTAATTCGTTTGCAGTCTTTGTACATTGATCAGTTTAAACGACTTCAGCATTTGCTTAAGGAGAAGAAGCGCCGGTACTTACATAACCGCAAAGTGGAACATGAGGCTCTAGGCAAGTTTTATGCAGTTGAACTGCCTGTTTTATAGCCAGAGATTTCTTTGCTAACTTTGGAGAACCTTCTTTTATGGTTTGCTTGCAAATTATATGTTGACTTTTGTGACTATTTAGGCAGCAGTCTCCTGACTGGTCCTGAAGGACTTTTAGCCAAAGAACGAGAGAATTTAAAGCGATTAAAATGTCTCAGGCGATACCGCCAGCGCTATGGAGTGGAAGCCTTACTGCACAGGCAACTGAAGGAACGAAGAATGCTGGCCACAGATGGTGCTGCCCAGCAGGTAATTATTGATTCGTATACTCTTAAGATACAGAATTTTATTTGTAGAATTATAGTGGTTAAACACTATTCTCAGTTCTCGCTCTGAAATCTGACAGCTTAGCTTGTAGCAAAAGCGCTTAGCTGGAAGGCAGGAGACATGCCCTAGTCTCAGTCCCCACTGCCTACCCTTTGCCTGCACAGATAGTTTAAGTTCTCTCAGCCTCAGTATTTATTTATTTATTTATTTGGTACCAGGGGTCGAACTTGGGTCCTTGGACTTGCAAGGCAAGCAGCAGAAATACTGAGCTAAATCCCAGCCCCTGGGCCTCAGTATTTAAATTGGGGGTTTTGGGGTGGAGTTTTAAATTTTTTGGTTCAAGTATTCATCACTTGAGACATAGGCATGGCTGGGTGTAGTCGTGTAGGCCTGTATTCCCAGCACTTTGGAGGCTGAGGCAGGATTGTTGTGAGTTGGAGGCAGTTGCGTTACATAATGAGTTCAAGGCCAGCCTGAATTAGAATTGAGACCCTATTTCAAAAAACAAAACAAAAAAACAAATTAGTTTGAAAACTGTTAAGCTATACAGTAGTCCCTTATCCGTTAGGGATATGTTCTAAGACCCCCAGTGGAGGCCAGCTTGAAACTATGGATATTATTAGACCCTAGTATTTTTTCCTGTATATTCAAAGTGTGATTAAAAAAGTACAGTGAATATTAAAAAATTTTTTTTTGGTACTGGGGATTCAACTCAGGCCCTTGTGCTTGCGAGGTATGGGTGGTAAAACTGCTGAGCCAGATACCCGGCCCAAATATTTATTTATTTTTTAAAGTGTGTTACAGTAAAAGACATTACCATTAACTCCCCCTGAAAATATTTGCCTTCTCTGAACACAGCCCATTATTATTGCCTCTTTCTGAAGTATAAATTTTCTTTTATGTCTTCAGTTAAGCTGTTGTAGTTAACTAAGTGTTGATTTGAATTCAGATCTTTACTTTTCATGGTTATTTTGACTTTGGGAAAGAATTGCAGGTCATAACATGCCAGACCTAGTGAATAGATGAAGACACAAAATAATGTTTTTACTATGAGCCTGCCTTTCCCTTGGATGGCACTGACTAGCGTGTTCACTGTATTGTTAATCAGTCCTCACAGAGACTCTGACAAAAGAGGATTTCTAGAACCACTTCACAGGCAAGAAAGGCTGTGGGTGTAGCTCAGTGGTAGGGCACTTGCCTAG